TGGATCCCTTGCTGCAGGGAGAAGAGTGGCCCGCGGAAAGCCCCTGCAGTGGCTGTCAGATCTGGAGGAGCTGAGGTATGCAGAGGGTGAGGATTATCTGTGGACACAGGAGACGAGAGGAGCTGTTCTCTTATCACCAGAAATGACAGGCAGGGCTGAGAGCGCTAAAAGTAATGTGAGTAAAATGGATTAATGTTGGTAATTAATATTTGCTGCCTAGAACAAGAAAAGTGAATATACCATGACAAATGGTGAAAACGTGAAAAAAGTAAAGCAGTAAAGAATGGAAACTGACTAAGTAAGAAGAGATAACGACATAAGAAAATTAATTTGTGGGCTGTTATAAATAGCAGCATGATAAAGAAATAAAGTGCTTCCATGAAGATGAGTAAAAACAAGAAAAGCTGTGAAAATGGACGCAAAGATAAAACAGTGACATTGTGTGTGTGTGTGAGCGTGCATTCAATGTGTGAGTGTGACTGGGTGTATGTATGAGTGTGCTTGTGAACCCACCCTGTCTAGGAGGCTTGTAGTTGCCAGGGTGGAAGGCGGCTGTGAGAGCAGACGAAGAATCTGTGATGTCTCCGTGGAGATGGCGACATCTACGGCGATATGCGAGCACTCCCACGCACAACACCAGTATGACACACAGCAGCAGGGCCCCCACCAGACCAGCGTAGACTGCTATACCCATGCCTGGGGTGGGCGCTGAAAGATGGACAGAGACACAGTCAAAACGTCAGGAAGACATATAGAGCATGAAAACACATAGACACAAATGTAAGGGAAACGCAAGAGGGAAGAAAACATAATTTACAAGATATCATTTGATTTGCTACATATCCATTGTAGCAGAATGTAGCATAAATTAATTATGTTAGCGCTGAAATGATTAGTCACTTTATTAATTAGTCGATCACCAGAATATTAACAACAATTCTTATAAATAAGGAATTTTTTAAGTCAGAAATTTAGATACAATTCCCAACAGTTTCTGGTTCTCGCTTATTTAATGTGAGCACTTTGTGTTTTTGTTCTTTCTATATCATTGTAATTCAGTATCTTTGACTCCGGTCTAAAGGACTGGGGACAAAATCCTTGTTCTTGGAAAACCAAGTCTGAAATTTCAGCAGAAGCTAATGTGAGGCTTCTGTGAGTCAAATTACGTCTGTATCTTTATCTTTTTAGGGCTTAATTCCCTCTTTGTGTTAACTCTCTCTTTCACACTATTATAGCTGATCGAGGAAACACTGTCTGGGAAAGGAAAGGAGCTAATTAAGCACAAAGAAGACTATGTTTAGAAAATGCTAGGCATAAGTTACACAAATCTAATATGCTAATTCTGATAGGAAAGATCAGTATTGGCATTGATACTGACTTTAGTGATTAGTATATCCACATTAAATATCATTGGCCTTAACTTCACCTGCTCCCCATTGGGCTGCTTCTCTTTTATCCTGCTGAGTGACTGGTCAGCAAGCTCACTACAGCCTGCTTAGCCATGACTGCTTAACACATCAGACCCCACCCAGACATGGGAGCCAGTTGCACCACAATAGAAAAGAGAAGAAGACAAAGTGTGAGGTTGGCAGAAGACAAAGAAGAGCAGAAAAAAAGGAGCAGACAGGCTGGATAAACAGAGGAGGAGAGAGCTAGAGGAGAGGCAATTTGGCAAAAGGGATATAGGAAGGAGTTAGATAAGGTTGTGATTTGTTGAGAGGACGGAGGGATTATAAGTGTGGTGAGGAGATAATGAGAGTAGTGTTTGAAGAAAAGGCTCATGTTAAAAGAGAAGGACTGAGTGAAGAAGTTGGAGGCAACTACAGACACTACAGAGCACAGTGAGAGCAGAAGAAACGATGGAGGAGAGGAAAGCTGGAGGCAGACGGTCTGGCAGATGAGAGCTCCCAAGCTCAGTCTGACAGCCGTCCACACTTATTACCAGAAACGGAACGAGAGCGAATTAGGCGCATTACCGCTGCTGCTCTCCCTTGATCGCACATCACACTGAGCTAGAGGAATTACCATCACTTCAAATGTAAACTACTGTATATCATTGATTAACTGACGGAAATCAGAAATCTGACTGTTTTTCTCCAGCGAAAGCTATGCTTCCATTACACAACCTATGGATCAAGAAGTATTAGCTTGGAGGCATGTCAAATATTTTTGACAGTTTGTCTAATTACACTAACATTTATTAATTGTTGTTTTATAAATGCATATATTTTATATATGCGTTTATATATAAAATACATATAGGACATAAAGGAGCTGTTATGTAACGTGCAATGTGGTAATATGGAATCGGCTCAGAAGCCCATTGTATGTTACGCTTAGTCAACATACAAACAAGACGGGGTCTAAACATTCATAACCAGGCTGGACAAGAAGGTGGATCTCCACTGAACCTGATGATAACAAAGTGTGGACAGGCAGGCTCAACCCAAACACTGCATGCATTCAGCTCCACGTGCTATAACACAGATGTTAGGACTCCTAACTTGTTTGAGCACACAGGACAAACACACACACACACACACACACACACACACACACACACACACACACACACACACACAGTAGAAATAGTATGAAGTCATGGAAAGGTAAACTTACAATGGCCTGTATGCTCAATAGAAATCTTTTTATCTGTTTGAACAGGAGAAAAAACAAGAGAAGAAGAAAAGAAAGAACAACATAAAAAAGGATGGACTAGTTATTATGCAACTGAAAGATACAATAACATCATGCATATCAAAAATGAGAAAGTAAACAATAGCTCATCAATATGAAAATACAAATGTAATCATAAAAGGAAACTGCAAGCAATAAAACATACTCTATTAAAAAAAACCTCTTCTAGAAATATATGAGAATGTGTTGCTTGAAGTTCAGCACAACTGAAACAATGAAAAATGAGAATTTTAGATATAGCTAAGAAAAAGAATCAATTGGATGAGAGTGGAAAAGGTAAAAACAGTTTTGAAAATGAACAAGGATGGTAGTGTTGTGTGGCACATGAAGGAGACAATTTAGATTGAAACCATCTTTTTATACACCCCACAGTGCATGTTATCAGCATCATCCTATGAAAAAACATCTCTATCCTGACAGCAGCAGCCTTTTTCAAGATAACACCAACGCAAATCACCACTGAGTGCTTTGATGGATGCCGCAACCTTCTTTCGGGATTGTGTGACTTACTATATATCAAACCAAATAACCCTTCTCTCCCAAGTATCATCAAAACTGCAAATGGTCTTCCTGACTTTCCCATTAATCGAGTAGCAATTAGAATCTACCACGAGCAGTGAAGATGACGGTTTGTAGTGGCTCAAAGCATTTTACATTTATGACGTAGAAACTAGTAGGGTATGTAGTAGATCCTCAGAGGGACTGACAGTGAGACATTAGGGTGAGCTTCTATTGTTTGTCTGAAGCATGGAACACAAAAAGGACAATTTGTGACTACAGAATAATCACATTAACATGTCAGGGATATAAATAAGTCAGTCAGTAACCTATAGTTTACCAAATTACACATTTACAAATGTTCTACAGCACAGTTCTTCCCAGCTTCCCCTCTGTCAGAGCCACTTGAGTGCATGTTTTCCTGACAACCTCATGAGAGTCCTTAGGTCTGTACAGCCAAAGCAGAAAGTGTGTTTGTCTAATCCGACTGCTGCATGGATGCCTGTTTATGTCAGGAATCTCGTGCGTCTGATGGAGCTGAAGCACAGTGTTGCTCTGTACCATATATGATCCCCCTGCTGCACATGCATTTACAAGGTTTGTCTGCATGCTTTGCAGTGTTGGTTTGTGTCTTGTGTGCACATGTGTACTTGTGTGTGAACATATCTCACTGCCTGTGTGGATGTGTATCTCTAAGATTCTAATGCGCTGTCAGCTGGATTCCTCCCAGCTCATCACGGGCTGCACATTGGGTGTCACTGTGAGTCTGACTCACTCTCATATGCTCTCCCCTATGCTAATTTTTTGACTTAGCTGTGTCATGCTTACTTAGATTGCACTGGCTCTATCTCTGTTTTTCCTCTCTCCATCTGTGTGTGCTTTTTAGATGTGGATCACTTGCCTTCTCTCTTTGTGAGTCTAAATTTCCTCGCATGAAACATCAGTCTGAGATTTAGCTGTTTCTCCTTTCATCTCTCTCTACATCATATGCACTCTCAAAATGCTGCAATGGCTAAACACCTTGGAAATACAGTTCCATACAAAAAGCTCTGCAATGAAGTGCACTATGTAAAACTAAGTTACAAGCAAGACTTGCTATAATCAGTTCAACATCCACCTGAAACAGGACATACTGTATTTTGTCAGGGAACCAACCCCTATAAATACCTCAGAAATCCTATTGTTTCAGATATTACACAGTTGAACTAATGAAATAATGAACTAGTGGAATAAATTCAACAGAAGCAAAAAAAAAAGACAAGTATTTACTTCTTTTGACATTCAACAAATAAACTGATTAGGTGACGTACTCCGTGCACACAGGCCCTCAGTGCAGTTTTTGCTCTCCATCATGCTGCCGCTGCAGTGCTTTCCTCCGTTCTTGGGTGGGGGGGCTTGGCATTCACGACTGCGCCAGTGGGTGCACTCTGTCCCACAGGCAGACCACTTGGCCCACTCTGTCCAGCCTCCATCCACTGAAATGACACAGTGGAGATGTGAGTTATTTTACAGCCAAAGATTTCCATCACTCCAGGTAAAGGAAAATCGTGGGTGATGTTACAATGTGGCATGGTGCATATGTAATACCCTGAAGTGCATCATTTTGTAACTTGCAAAATGCATTCTGTGGTTTGTTTTAAATGACTTTGTAGTCAGGGTGACACAAAGGGCGAAGCAATAAAGACCAGAATGCATGACAGTAAATCTTAACACTGTGATCCTGATGTAAATGACTTTTCATAGTGAAATCAGAGCAGCTACGTGACCAAATGCTATTCTGTCCTAGTTGGCCAAAGTAATTTTTTAGCTTTGAGCAGTTAATAGTTTGTTTTCCTCTAAAGTTGAACCTCATGTGGAAGATCACAGCAGAAAACCGGCACATGATGTAGAGGTTTTAAAATTTTCATTACGGTACTTCCTGCAAAATGGGCCATTTGGGAAATTTCCTGATATTCCACTGCATGCCTACTTAGTCTGAAGATGTTGTAAATAATACAGATGTATGCCACATTCACCTGGGCACAGTGTAGTGCAGGTCACTCTCTGGAAGGGTGGGCCCTCACAGAAGGCGCCTCCATTCAGAGGGGTAGGATTGGTGCAGCTGCGTGTTCGTCGCTGCCAACCACGCCCACACTGAGCATTACACTCTGACCATTCAGTCCAAGAAGACCAACCTCCACTCACTGACACACACAGACAGGCAAAGTGAATGAGTCTAGCAGTTAATACCCTGATCAACTTTAACAATAAGGATAATATAGACACCTAGAACTGCTGCCCTCCAAAAGCATAATCCAACGCAGAAAAGATGACCTTTTACTAATATATATCAAGAAGGCGGTTTATCCTAATATGTGAGGTGTGAGAATGGAAGGAATGGAAGGACGTATTGTGTTACCATAAACAATGAGAGTAGCTGTGCTGCTGCGTCTTTTGGCCACCACATTTCGAGCCACACAGGTGTAGTTTGCAGTGTCCGAAAGTCTGGCCTGTTTGATGATCAGATCATGATCGATGGTGATCAGGAAATTGGAGTCCTGCGATGGATCTATGACATCCTCGTTCTTCAGCCAATCCACCTGGTGAGAAGCAGGAATACACAAATGCACATCACTGAAATAAAAAATTGAGAACTTTGTTACAAGAATTTAGTTGGAAATATTAAACTATCAGACTCTCAGCCCTGTGTGATTCATTTGGCAGACATTTCTTCACATAAATCTTTGTATAAATCAGCAGGAGAGTCAGCACACCACACACAGACCCATTCAGCAAACATTACAGAGTATTTAGCCATCGCTACATGTGGTATTGATCAGACATCCTCAGTATCTGATAATTCTTGATTCACTCAAAAAATATATTATTTCTGCTTCTCTTGGCCAAACTCATTTATTATTATTATTGATACATCCTCCTTACTAACAGACACAACAACCACAAACAAAGCACTTCAGATTTATTGTGAAACACATTCTGACATTCCAGTTAAATGTTGTCCTGTGATCACATAAAATGTGCTTTTATGCTTTCATGCTATGTGCTTCTTATGTCGCATAACGATGCTATTTAACCAGTAAAAAGAACAATACAGCCTGGCAGAAAATAAATATTTACTTGAGTAATAAAAATCTATATTTCTGAATAATTTGCCTTCTTTTGTAATATACTGTTGTATCCCTGTTTTATGAGATAAATAAAACTGTCTGATGTAGTGCTGTTAGAGGTAAAACATGACAGAAAGTGGATTTAAACACAGCTTTTTTGTTTTGTTGCTTAAATAACTGAGAATGTTATTACTGATCATTAAATGTTTCAGGGAGGTTTTTCATGATGGTGCCACATAACTGGAGAGACTTAAATCTCTCCAACTTCAGTGACTCGCTCTTTGCTTTCCTCCCTTGTGCTTATATTGGTGCATTAGTGCATAAACTTGTATCACTATTGATAAATTATATCTATGCTCTGCTGTCTCCCTAAAATATTTGGATTTGCAGTGGTTAAAACCACAAACTATAAGTGTTTTTGTGCTATGTATTACTTATGATCAAGAACATAAATTTAACCTTAAATGAAATGGTCAGGTGTTAAGAATGGGGACTGAGGAGGGAGAGTTTTACCTCAGCAGTGGGCATGCCCTCTGGAGGACGACACTGCAGCAGCACCTCCTGCTCGAGTCGCACCTCCCGCCCCAGCGGCTCCTGCTCAAAGTTCTTCTTCAGGTCTACAGGGGGCGACACAGATGTAGTCAGCAGTTTGTGAAGGCTTCCCGTGAAAGCAGAGTGACACCCTGTTGAGCTTAGTGACATTGGCTGTCACGCAAATATGCACATATACACACACAGACGACAAGCCAAAGCCCCGAAAAGTCTTTGTCACTGTTTTGTTTTTTCTTCTTCATATCCTCAAAACATGCAGTGTCAATCACACTACACCACACATTACCATGGGAGACTGAAAGGCAGTGCTACAGCAAATTTATATATATATGTATACACTTAAGCTGACACATATGCTGAGCAAAAAGTCAGAAGCTTTTGCCTTCTGTTGTCTCTCTTTCATTCTTTCACTCTCTCTCACACACACACACACACTCACACAGCCTGGATACTGACATGCAATGCGAACATAGGCACGATTGCTCTTGGTGGTACCAGCTGAGCTCCAGGCCACACACTGGCACCAGTAGTCCTCCAGCCCAAACAGCTCCTCCACCTGAGTCCTTGACACTGAGATGTCCACCTCCCTCACCACCAGCCCTGTGGGCAGAGAGAGAGAGGGAGGGAGACAGAGATTCGTGAGGCATATTTTTTACAGTTCATATAAATAATGTGTTGGTTGCAGGCCAAAAGCAGTTAATATGCACATAAAACCCTGTAGGAGCTAATGGATTATGTAGTTGAAAATGATGTTTGTAATTGAATATGATGTTTACGTCTGTGAAATACAAGGTGACAATACTATGTGTGGGTATAGTTGTGTCTACAGGACACCTCTATATGTGTGTGTATAACCTGTGATCTGGTCCAGGCTCTCTCTGGTGACATGATCATTCTGATTGACCCATTCTCCGTTACATTTGAAGTAGATCTGTGTGGCTGGTGATGCTCGGCACCGTAGCTGGACTGGACGATTCTTTACAATAAAAGCATCCTCCGGTTCCAACAAGAATTCTGGGAGAGGTTCTGCTGGTGCTGATGGGAAGGAGTCAGGGAGGACGTCGGCCTCACTTTCGTAGCTGCTATCTGAAAATGCAGAACAGAGGAGAGATTAGGATGACTGATCTTCAATGGAGAGAAGTGTCTGCCTGCTGGACGCATAATTGGCCAGTACAGCGAGTCTCCATCATATAAATCAGTACTGGCTTCCCTGTTGAGGCGGTAAGCAATAAACAAAATGACAAATTTATCCCTTGGGGATCAATAAGCTATCACACACCTGGAGGGAGTATATGTGAGTGTGACAGCTTGTTTTGCGTCTCAGTCCAGTTGTAGGGCATGTGTGAACAAATCTGTCAGCACGGTTTCATTGTATACCTTGAGGCAACCCTGTTAGAGTTTTTCAAGAAGACATTAAAGGTGCTGACAGTTCACACTCTAAGTGAAGGGGCATGTTGACATTCTCACCTCCGTGTATCACCAGTAATCTGGTCAATGCAGACCCCTAGCCCTGGTTTCTTTGGAAGAGTCCATGCCTCTCAGCTGGGGAGGAGAGCTGCTGACTTGCGACAGACAGCCGCTGTTGATCTCACATTATCCCCTGACATTTTCGATGTGACATATCCCTCTTGGCAATGCTGCAACAGATTCTCCTGGCAAGAAGGACAAGGTCTTTCTGACCTCTTCACTCTGACTTGTTACTCTAACAATGATGGGTAGATCCCAGGGAGTACAGTATATCAATGTAGCAGTGTTATTGGCTTCTACTAGTTTTCACAACAGTAGCTAGATTCAGGTGTCTGTACTGATAATGCTGCTATATACTACACTGATAGTTTGTCATATTAATAGACATCATTCAAATACTCCTGAAACCAAGTCAGTTTGATTTACATTGACCAAAATCACCCATTTACTGTAAAGAGCTTTACTATTTTTACAAAAAAAGGTGACCCTTGATTTTTTAAAAAGCAAACACATCACACCACTTATTATTAATATTTTTCTTTAGCTGTTAGTGCTGGCATCGGATATTCTGTATCAGTCAGACGGGTCTGATTACAGGGCTGCAGGGTGGCACACTATGATGCAAGCTCAACACATGTTTTCCTCTCAACTGGAAGGTATCCTCGCCAAAACACTAATGCAACAGGCAGACTGGAGGAGACCTTGTGACATAAAACCTGCTAACAATAGGAATGCTGTAGCTTCTGCTATGAATAATAGCCTGACAGAGTATAGCTATCATGGCCAAGTATGTGTCCAACCCGCTAAAAATCAGCAGGAGCCATAAATGTTTTCTCTCTTGTTAAGCAATATTTTAACATCATCTGCTATAAAACTCTTACCACCACTAAAGCCAGGGTCTATTTAATTACTAATGTGTGTGACTTTCCAATAGAAAACTTTGTTCTTGTGAAAATGATCTCAATTCAATAAGAGTTAAATAGAAGACTGGAGCAGAGTGCACAGAACTGACAGGGTCAGCTTTACTAAGGAGATGCCAAAAAACAGGCCTATGCAATCAAGGTACTTTCTTCTATTGATATACACACAGAGCATGAAAGAATAGGAAGAGA